CAGCTTAGAATCCACGTGTGTGTGTGTGCGCGCTATCTTTTATTTTATGACTGCATCATTGCGCGCTTAATAACAGGTCGCAGGAGCCGTTGAATTGGGTGTCCGCTGGGGAGGTGCCACCTTAGAGTAATTTTATGTTGCTTAAATATTAGTTATTTTCTGTGTTTATTTTAAAGAAATAAAAATATATATTTAGGATAAATAAATTTTAGGTGAGAATATTGTTGTTATTTTTGGTGAGCTGAGCTGCTGATTTTATATCATCTCCTTTTTTTATTTTTTTGTCTTAAAAATTATCTAATAGAATATTAGTTATTTTCTGAATATCTTTTAAAATTAATTTTAAAATTCTTCACCTAGATATTTTATTTGTGATTAAATCCTCTAATAAATATATTTTTTTCAATTGAGTGTCTATGTAATTAATTGGATAGAAGTACACTTGGCAATTTAGTCAAGTGAGGTGGGTTCGGTTTGGATTGTTTTGGGTTTAGGTTGTATTTGGATTTGGGTTAGCATGCACATGACCATGACCATCACCCTAATCTACTGGGTTTCGAGTCAAACCCATGAGTTTGAGTTTTTTAATTTAATAATAAGGAATTCAATTATAATTATAAGATAATGTTTATACACGTGTGTCAAGATCATAAATAGCTCACATATAAATTTATGTATGGAAAATAACTAAATATGCATTAATTATAAGATATTAAAGAGATAGAATCAATTTTTAACATCACAAAATAATCATGAGTTGGTTTGGAGCACAGAGAAGAGTAGATCTGCCTTAATGGAGACTTAAATAAAATAATTCATATGAAAGTGAAAAGAATGATAATAAGTGAGACCTAATTTTTTGAATCTTTCAAAAATAATCTTTCTAGCAATATATTTGTTGGAAGAGTGGAGTACTTCTACTCTGAAGATTTTTGAGTCTCGTTGTTTTTATCTGCATCACATATAATTTAGCAAAGAATTTTCAGAGTCAAAGGTGAGCATACATGCATCAAGCAATGGTTGAACGCATTTCTAAAATCACAATGATCGATATGTAAAAGAAAGTTACAAGATATCGGAAGCAAATAGTAGAGGGCCTTGGGGATCGACTAGGCATCATCATCAACTCCTAGGGTGACAGAGGTGGGCTTTAGGATCTCAGTAGTGGATCCTGAAGAAAAAAAGACCACAAACGTAGTAATTAACATATTTCAGACGAGACAAATGGATGCATTTCTGTTTATGATTCTATTATGTATGTATTTTTCATTCTGATGTAGACATTACAACCTCCCTCTTCGAACCATTCCAAGGCAGTTTTGTTCTGCAGGAGCTGTAATAAGATGAATGTAATTTGAGTACTTGATCTTAAGCGATTAAATATTATTGAAATGGAAAATCGAAAACGGCATGCATATATATACCACTGTTGGGATCCCGGGGCACCATGCGGTGACGTCACTGGAATTGTTTCCACCTTGAGCAAAAATGAGCTTGGAAGAGGGGCCAGCACTTGATTTTGCCCGATACGCAAGAGCTTGGAAGAGGGGTCGGGACTTGAAAGAACAGGTAGGATGAAAGCTTGGAAATAATCTGGCAACCTGTAATATCGACAAGCTTGAAATCGATTGGGAAGGAAAAACAAAAACAAAAAGGAGGAGAAGCAATGAAGAAAATGTATGAAGCTAGAAGCCGATCCTAGCGTGCAATGGAACTTCCATATCCTATGAACTTACGGTGATGTTTTTTGTGCAGGACTGAGACAAGTTCGAAGCTGGAGTTTACCTAGGACATGCCACACTTACTGGTGAAACTGAAGCTGCTGTTACCAAGGATTCACTTGTCCAACAAGTTTGTCAGCTGATTGTTTGTAAGAAAAACAAGAACATGCATGGATGAATCTGGCAGAGCTTATTTTTGCGACAAATGGGCATAGATGTGAACTCTTATCTGTATGCAGCTTATATAATTTCAGAAAAGCTTGAAAGAAGTGTTTGATTCATCTATTTATAGCCTTACATAAAAAGCCTAACTAGAGTTATACTAAAAACGAAAATTGCAACAACTAATAATAATCCTAATCTAAGACGTAATCGAAGTTAATTAGATCATATCAGAACTCAGAACTCCTTAGATCCTAATCATGTTAGCTTGTGTTTCTTACTTTCCATTGGACTTGTAACTTTGAAAATCCTTGGATCTCATCAACGTCATGGCACAGACCGCAGCTAATTGGAGACTTGGATTATTTGCATTTCAGATTACTTAATGAACTAACCAGTAATTTCTTTCCGAGTCAGAGAATATTAACCTTCATTGCTTGGTTATCTAGGGAGTCTTATTGCTTGTATATACTTCTAAGAGTAGCGTCTCTTCAGATCATGACTGTACTCAATTTCCCTATGACAGATGCCATCAAGATCTTTGAAATAGCGTCGCGTATATCCAATCCAGAAAGCGTACCATCCCTGGCGGTGGAACTGAGAGCTGTTATTTGAAGCTACCCTGAAGCTGATTTGGATAATTACAGCTCAGGATTTTCTTAAAACTAAGATCATTGTTGTCTTTTTCCCTAAACGAATCTGTAAAAGTAGAATGACCATCGCCCTTGATTGATAAGGGGCTAACTATTGTACTTCAAATTTTCCATGGACTCTATCTACCCTGTGGCTACCCCAAATCGCGGCGACTCTCCCTCTTTCCACAGAATCCAGAGGAAAGGAATCTTTTATGTGTGAAAAGTGGGGAAGGTCCAATCTTAAGAAAAATGAGTCTCCTGATATATAAGGATTCTACTTGGTGGAAAATAATTAATCCTAATCTAGTTTAGACAAGTCATAACTCAGGACTCAACTGAGGAACATAAGCCTGGCTGGCTGAGTGGCTGATTTTAGGAGTGGTTCTGCCACATAGAATGCCTCTTATTTCTGGACTTCTCTTCTCCTTTTCCTCGCAGTATTTTCCCTCTTTCTTCTAGTCCAATTCCCGCTAGGAAACTCCCTCAGTTTGAGACTTATAGGTACTCGAAAACCCAATCCGCCAGTACTCCTGCACTGACTCTGTTGGGAATTCTGGCGTGCTTGCTTCTGTTTCTGCTTCCATAACTTTGCTGGGGATTTCTGCTGCTGCCTTTGCTTCTTCTCAGCTGCTGGATAAGGATTCTTCAAGGTTGTCTTTAGAGCAAAATTCTTGTCCCACCATACGGTGAAATATGTCTTTCCAATACCATAGAGGAAAATCATTATCTTTAAGTTTTTATATTATCCATTATCTCTTCACCATTCATTTTTTTTTTTTCATTACAGTTTTTTTCCAAAACTCAACTCAATTTAGTCCTGTCTATTTCTATTTGTTCTATCCTATGTAACATACCAAACACACTTTTAGGGGATAAAAAAAACACAGTAATTAAATTGCCAAATAAACTATCTCAAAGTGACTTTGATAGTGCTGGTGATTGATGCTAAAACATTGTATTAAAAACAATATATAATAAAATAAAGGAAATCTTACGAATATATATTGATGGCGTCAAGTGGTGAGGTTTGTAAGCTATAATCTTCAGTTCTTTATGTATTAATCTGGCTAAGCAGCATTTAAAACAGAAGGGAAGATTATATAAAATTGATCAGTGCAGATATAATTATGATAAAGGGACATTAATTATATATAATCTCATGTAACACGAAATCTCTACCCAATGATACCTCTTCTGATTCGGCCATACTTTCCCTGTTCCTCGGTTTGTTCACTGCAATATTAGCATTTGTTTAATTTAAATAAAATGAAAGATTAAAATAAATAATATATACATAGATATATTTAATTGAAGGGATGAGGATAAACATATAAAATAAATTTATCTCGATCATAGTTTTGGAGTAGATCATAGTTTTAAAGTAAATTTTTGTCATTTTAAATATGAAAGGATATGTTTCTCCTGCTTTCACTGTTTTTTTTTTTTTTTAATGTCCAGAGATAGTAACTAAACATTAGTGTTTAGGCATAAATGCACAACCAATCAATATACCAATCAATATTCATTCAATATTAATTCAAATAATATATATATATATATATATAAAGTTTTTCCTTGTAAATTCATCATTCAATTAATCAAGCTTTCCAACTCATCATTGTTAAGTTACAAATTCAGAATTAGTGTAGAATTCTTTGAGATTTATATACAAATAAAATCTCAAATCCCAAGCTTGGATATGTTCATGAAAAACAACAACCCGATTCTATATGCATACCTCCCTATGATTAACTCATGAGGACTCCATTATTGGAGGAAAAAGCATCCCCACAACACCTCCTTTTTTTCTTTCCTATCATGTTACGTTCTGTTCAACTCAGATTTTTTTTTTTAGATTAACGTGGGTGTCCGGGCTAGCTTGCGCGCACCGCGACTAATCCCACGGGCCCTGAAGTTAACGACCATGTAAGCCTCCAGTGGCCATCATATGAGCAACCAAGGACTCGAACCTGAGACCACAGAGGGAGCAAACCCCTTGATCCCAAGTCCTTACCATAAGGAAAAGATAACCTTATCCTTA